TCATTTTGATAATCAGCTCTCTATACTGGCAATAATTGCAAAATCAAATGCATTATTAACATTCCAATTCTGTCAACTGTATCGTGATCCTTTTTATTCAGGCTGGAAAAGAGACAAATAAACCCCAAAATTAGAACAATCAAACAATTGACTCATGGATGGTTGATCTCGAATGTAGGTTCAGAAAGGGAGAAATTTGATAAATCGGTCGATCCGGAAAGTGACTCGTTTTGGCGAGATTATCTCGACACAGCTGCATGCAAGGTTATACTTGGACTCGGCATTGTGAAGGGGGGATTTGATAACTATTGTTTTGAGGTTGGCGTACTTTGAGGATCACCAGTCCATATGTGAAGGGGAAGAGACGGCTAGTGTTTCTATTATGCAAGTTTTGTATTAGTTGAATCGAGGATATTCATTGTTTTCGACCCGTTGTTGTGGATCGCTGATTTTGCATATGAGGAGTTGTCGTAACTTGTTATTTGGGATTTATTCATACAACAGTAAGTAAATACCAAAATATGCGTGTATGAATACATATGTATTCAATTACCCACATAATGCACTATTGAAATGTACATATTGTTGGTATTATGTCACATAGCAATACAGTGTACATTGTAAAAGCCAATATTTAATTTGCTTCTGTTCAACGCAATGAAGCTCATGTTGCATACATATTGAGACTCTATTTTCATTGAAAATTTGTTATGCGTTATAATCATTACATATCATGCTAAAAAGTGAAAGGGAATTCAAGTCTCTGTATGCCTTTCCGATGTCTGTTATGTTAAGTTGTCCATCTGTGTGATTTGGGCCATTCCAAATCACATGGAGATGGTGCACATAGTGTGTGCAAACGCTTAAAATGGGACCCTTCATCCTTGTAGTACCCAAAATCTTTTTTTTTTAACTTTAGATAGATTTAGATATTATCCGTGGAGCGCCAGTGTGTTAACTCGTAAGTAGTGTTAACTCATAAACGCATGTAGAGTTAAAACGTCCCCTTGGCAGATAATATGTGAGGCTATCTGTCAGTAATCACTTTCAGGAATATTCGAGTAGTCTGACAGCTCAAGATGCTATTTTGTTGAGCCCTCAAATAAAGGTTTTCAAGACAGCCTGTGAGACCGATATGTCAAATACCAAAATGTTGAGACCAAAATGCGGGTCTTACAAGTTTTCAGTCTTGTGGGATGTCAGTCTTATAAACCCTCTGATAACTTTAAAGAAGGTTATAGCCCTAAGAATTCTATCTCGCCAGAGTTTTGATCATGCTTGCATGTGCTTTTTGTTATCCCTTTACAAGCACTGCATGTTATCCATATGCATTCATGCACTGCTTGCTTTCTTTCTTTATATCGTAATGTGTAGTGTATACCCCCCCCCCCCCTCCCATACCTTGTTTCATCCTCTGCATAATTGCACTCATCTTTCTTTCCCCTTCTTTTTAAAACAGTGAGAGCAGTCAGTTGAGCTATGGAGGGGAAGGGGGAGGGTAGAGATCCCCTTCTCCCTCCCCCTGTGTAGGGGAAGGGGAGGGGGTAATAAGCTGAAATATAATGCTTTAGGACAGATCTGAGTTTTTCACTAATACATTACATTGTACTTTCTGTGTGCTTCTAAAGATAATGGTATTGCTGTGTGTAGTTCAGACACACACACAAGAATATATTTACACTAAAAGGAAAACTAAAGAACCATTCAATGTGTAAGAAACATGCGAATGCAAGTGCTTGATTTTTCATAGCAATTCTATGTATTTTATTGACTTTATTCAATACAAAGAAATATGGATGGGATAAGGAAACTTCATTTTGTAGGAGTGGGACAAAAGCAACTTCTCAACTGCTCTTTACTATGTTTTTCTTTTCTATTTTCAGTTTGGATCATGATACTAGTGTTCCCCCCTTTCAATCCTTGCCTCCTACCATTTTAAGATATACACAATATTCATGCCTTCTCTTCATGATTTCTCTTCTCTTCCAGCAAAGTTATTATATAAATTTAACAAAAAAACGTGCAGTGAAGCTTGTATGTCATATGTGATTTGATTTTCAGTTTGTTTTTCCAGTTGTACACACACCTTGTTCGATGCAAAGTCCACATCACATGTACATTTATAATAATAATAATAATATATATATATATATATATATATATATATATATATATATATATATATATATATACATGTATATGCTACCAAAAATGGTGATTTATATAGTTTGACGCATTGTTTGATGGTAATACTAGTGCTTAGACCCTAGTAAATATAAATGAATGAGCTGTGTTTTGGGCTAGAAACAGCTGTTTTTAATTTACTTCTGTTTTATATACATGTAGTGTGCTTTTTCATTTAAAGTTGTAACAAAATATGATTTTAGATTATGTCATTTTGATATATCAGTACATAGCTTGTAATCATTCTTTGCAGTAAAAATACAGTTGTTCACTGACATTATTGTTTTCATTTTAGCCATTCAATTTTGATTTCGTTCCCTGTGTATACATGTAAAACATTGCTTCACCAGTATCAAAAAGAACTTAAACTTAGTGCATATGTATATTTGTATGAAACCATGTTTTGCACCATGCATCCATTCAAATAGATCCTTTTTGTGCATCAGAACACATCAAGTTATCAAAATATTTATGTGTGGTTTAGTTTCTATACAGTACGCTATGTGCTTCAAAACATGGTCCTTACAACAAAGCATTGATGTATGTGTATCAGTGTTTTACATGCTAAAGTATTTTGCAGGCCACTTTTACATTGCAGAGTAATTTGTTTTTGAATGGATCGAAAATAGATGCAAAGCACACTTTTTAATGCTTTCATGGAATAATTGTAAAATGTTTCCATTTGGTATCCTCTACCCAATTATAATATTGCCGTCATTAGAAGTATGCATAAATACTGTACTTTTATGGTTGTATTCAATTTTCGATGTTCTGCATGATAATAATTTGACACTGCACAAATATATCTGGAATAGAAAAACGGTTATAGCAAATGTTGATACATGACACATAAATTAGTTTTTAGAAGTGGATTATTAGGGATATTTTTTTGTGCTCACTGTACCTTGCTAACTTAGAAAACCCCTATAAATAGACCAGTTCACAAATGTATTTAAATATCATGCATACATATCTGAACTGGGGGGGGGGGGTGTATTTCACAAAGATCCTAAGTTGAACTTATCTCTTAGTTGGACTTAACTCTTATGGAGAGCCATTTGTAGCCTTAAAATAAAATATATTCAAAAGTGAAAAATCAATTATTTTAGACATTTCATAAATTCCACATCAAGAACATGAAATCTCCTCGATAATAGACAATATGAATAATTTGAATCAACATTTTACGCCTTTTAAAATAACTTTTACAAAATATTTTCAAGGATGCTAATGGCTTTCCATAATTTGTAAGACACACTTAGAGTTAAGTTCGACTTAGGATCTTTGTGAACCACCCCCCCCCCCACCCCCAGCTCACAAATGTATTTAAATATCATGCATACATATCTGAACTGGTCTATCGCAAAGAACTGCTTGACTGACTTTTGGGGATATGACAGGCACATGAAGAAAATGTGATAGTGATGGGGCAACTAAATTTGGACGGGTCTCTGAGTGACTAAGCCATGTTTATAAGGCCACATCCTGTGCACTTCTGTACTAGGCTCTACTGAGTTTGTGACACACCATCGACGACGTCCATAGAGTTTTATTCGGCTAGACAACGCATGAAAGCCCGTTTTGGGTTTTGAAGACGTGTCAGTGTTCTAGGGAGAAGTTTAGGTTGTGTCCTGTAAAATGTCAAATATCGTCATCAGCCTGTACATGTTTTTTCATAGTTCTCCCTAAAGATGAAGTTGAGTTCTGGTCATGCGATTGCATTGTGAAAGAAACGGTGTGGAACCGACCAGAAAAGGTTGATCATCTAGCATATAAGAATTTGTGTGTATTGCAAGGTTCTGGAATCATCAAAATGATAAGAAATTTGGCCAAGTCTTGGTAAAGTTACAAACACTTGCACAGAAAGATGTATATGGTACTACACGAACACGTGGCGTAAAAAGCCGCCCCCCCCCCCCCCCCCCCCGATTTTTACGATGTTACATGCATATTTAGAATATGAAGGCATTTGAAGAGCCATGCTTTTCAGGGAACATGTATTAACTGATGTTCTTCCACACTTGCATAATAAGAATGAGTAATGCTCACAAATTATTTTTCACCTCTTCCCAGAACTCAACCTTCTCTTTAAAAGTATACCCCTTGCAAGAACAAGAAAAGCGATATTTTACAGTGTGGTGAGGGAGCTATTGTTCATTTCACCTACCCTGTCATATCTGATTCAAAATCAAAGTCAAATCTAAAAGATTATAGTTTCTAGTTTTGTATTATTTACCAAATCTCATCATAGAACAAAAAATAATTAAGTTTAAGTTTAATTCTTCATCATGTATTATTTTTGTTGGTAAACGTGTGATATAGCTATACTACATGTATGTAGGGCATTAGAAGTGCTAGTTATTACTATAATTATTAACATTGGGTATTTTCTCATTAGAAATGATTACCGGTATATAATTGGATAGAGATGCATGAATCATTTTCTCATATTTCTCTCATTTCAAAATATAGTTACTTTACTTTGGATTTGTTATATTATAAAAAAGAAAAACAGTGTCTGCAATTTTCCTATGATGTGTGCCTATCCATGATGAAACGGAAGGCAGAGCTTTAAGTTGGGAATTGTTTGCCAATTTTGATTAATTTCATCTTCATATTATTCATTATTATGCCTATTCATATTTTTCTTGTACCTGTAAGTGAATGAAGGGTCATATAAAGTTCAAAATGGAGTTCAATTTCGCAGAGTTACACCATATGTCAATCTCATCAATTATACCAATAAATCAATCAAGTTACATTGGTTTCCTCGTGCTAACCTCAACATCCTACCCCTTCCTTTTCCATGACAACAGCTCGATAACCATGGCAACCACGTTGTAGCCAGCGAAGAGTCGGCGATCAACATTCCAGCCGTGGCGGCAGCACACGTAATCAAGAGGTACGCCGCGCAGGCACCCGACGAGATCTCGTTAGAGGTAAGCACCGGATGGTAGAATGACTAAGACGACCACACAAATGATCGTATCGCTTACAAAAATACTGCACCTAAATGTCATTAGATTTCCTTGCATTAAAACGCTGTTACCTTTCAACTTTCTCATGATGATATGTGTGGGTTTAAGGTTGTGCGTGTTCAAGCAAATTTAAATTGTGTTAGATCAAGGTGTGGAAATTACAGGAACACTGCTGCATAGATAGGGCATGTTGGACATTTTTCCCACTTTTCTTCACGTTTAAAGACATTTTGTAATGACAACGACAACCATTTAAATGATCATACAGCTTACCAAAATTCTGCACGCTTTATCACTATCTTTCCATGTATAAAATCGTTGATATCTTGTACCTTTCTTATATTGATGTGTGTGGGTTTAAGGTTGCGTGTGTTCAAAAAAAAAAATTGAAAAAAAAATTGTTTGATCACTTCTGCATCGATGGGGCATTGAGAACACCGCCCCTCCCCCCCCCCCCCAATATTAGTAGTTGTTCATAAGTGCAGTGGTGTTCTTACATTTTTCGAAGTTACATCGTAACTCTAATGAGTGTGTATTTTACCCACACATGTATGTGAGAGAAAAAAATATACTGGTTCTACCGTAATTATAATTAGGTGCAGTATTTAGATATTAGACGATACAATCATTTGTTTGGTAGCCCTTGTCATTCCAAAATAGCCTTTGAACCTTCCTTTAAAAAATTGAAGCCAAGATTTTCTTCCAAAGCAGTAAGTTCTGGCAATTTCAAAACTTCTCTAAAAAAAACTCTTAACAAAAATGATACAGAAACTGTATCAATTAAATATAATTTTTTTGAAATAATAATGACTTGAAGAGAAGAAGAGGTTTCAAGGGCTCAAAGCGGGTGTTGAAGAATCGGCATACCCAGGTTACCATGGCAATTCAATGTATCTTGGCTTTCATTAATGTATTGAATGTGCCACACTCCTACACGATTATTAGTCACTCCGGAGAGCGTGAAGGATTCGGCATTGAATATCGGCTCCTTTGCCTCAGCCAGTCACGTCAACCTAGAATGTACACGTAGCTAGCTTTCTCTTTCCAATATCGCATTGCAAGTGGCCATAGAGAATACATTTTTGACTGAATTTCTGCCTGAATTTCTGCTCGCTTTGAGCGCAAGCTTTGGATCTCTATACTGGATTATAGAAAGAGAATACAGAGAACATTTGTTACTATAATTCCTTGTGGACTCTTGTGCATGGGATTTTTAATGCTGTAAGTAGACAAAGTTAGTATTTGCTTTCTTCAAAATTTTGACAAGAAATATTGCTGAGCTCTAGAATTGAATAGAAATTCATCAAATATTTACTCTTGGAAGTTTGATTTTGAATGTGAGAGGGCTAATGTAAGTGTTATTTAAAATAATAATGATAATAATTAGATTAATTGTAGTGCAGCCGATATATATAACATCAATTTTAACTTGTCAAGAAAACAAAGTACTGCATATTAACATCATTTGATATTTTGCTCTGTCTCTTTTTCTTTTTTCTCTCTTTTTTTTTTTTCTCTCTTGCTTTATCTTTCTCTTTCTTTTTCTCTCTTTTTCTTTTTCTCTCTTTTTCTTTTTCTCTCTCTTTCTTTTTCTCTCTTTCTTTTTCTCTCTCCTTCCTCCTTAGTCCTCCCTCCCTTTAAGTTTAAGGTTTCCTTTTCTCTCCCCCCCCCCCTTTTTTTTAATATTCAACTCCTTCTGTCTCTGTTACTGTGTCTGTATAAATCTCCTTTCTGTTGATCTACCAATTGCGGTTGAAGAATAAATTGCAGTTGTGGTTTCATTATATTAGCATTGTTATCATTCATGACGTATATGCACTTTGGTCTCTGTACGCACGAATTAAAGTGCACCCATATTGTATTCTTTATACAGGTAGTATGAGTAATACAACAGTTCATGACTAATGAAGTGTAATTCTTTCATGTGAATCATTGCGTCTGGTTCGTGGCAGGGGCAACACCTTGATACACTTGAACAGAATAGATTAAAAAACAAAAGCACCCAAATGTATTACATACCACAGTTTAGTTTAACTCTGCAAGGGAGCACATCTTATTAGTAGTGCTGTGGATTATAGACATTTTTTCAAGCAAATATGGTAGGAATATCGAATTTGGTTGAGGTAAAAAAAAGAATAGTATTTACCGTAACCATTTTTAAACTACTTTTTACTTGTGAAATCAGGTGAAGGTATAGAAAGTAAGAAAGAGGCTTTAACAAATTATTGTTTTCATCTATTTTTGTGATATTTCAATAATATCAGTTTTCTAGTCTTTACCGGTAAAAAGTGCTTCAGTCCTTTTTTTTAGTCTACAAGCAAATGAAATGTTGTTTTAAATGATTGTCAGTTAGAAAAATGCCTTGATTGACAACCGCAACAAAATTTTGAGGTAATAGAGATCTTCTCTTCATACTAGAAATTTAATGAAAGCTGAAACGAATCAAAGTTATTCTCAACGTTTTTTCGACATTTCATTTTACGTTACATTTTACGTTTCTTCATCAGGTGCAACAAGTTCGGTTGATAGTGCTCTTCATACTGAAACAAATCACACTTAATCATTTTTTACCTTTTAATTTCACGTTTCTTTTCTAGGTGGGAGACATGATCTCGGTGATCGACATGCCTCCTCCCGAGGACACGTCGTGGTGGCGCGGCAAGAATAAGTTTGACGTGGGCTTCTTCCCTCGCCAGTGCGTTGAGATCATCAGTGAGAAACTACCCCTGGCAGTCGCAGAGAGGGTACCGAAAGGGCCCAAACCTGGTAAATATTCTTTATTCTAACTTCACTCGTATCTCTAGTATTTCTAGGTGTTTTTTTTAATACATTTAATGTGTGGTAGTGGCAACGACAGTGTCAAAAGGTCCAAAACATGAGGAAATTTCTCTCTCTTAACTCTTATCAGGTACTTTTTGATTTGCAAGTTCACTAGTGGACTGCTACGTATGCGGTCATTTTTTAAGCAGGGTTGACGAGGCACGCTGACTGTCGTTTGTTACCTTTTCAATTTCACATGACGACTAGTGATTTTGCAAATCGAAAAGTCCCTATTGTATCTATCTACAGTATGTCTAGGGCTTGGGATAAATAAAACCTGTGGTATTAGCAGAAAGAGTACCGAAGGGGCCCAAATGTGGAAATTTTTCTTTATCCTAACTCACTGTATTCATGTCTAGGGCTTGTGATAAATAGATACAACATCAGAGCTGCCAACTAGGATTTTCCCGTAATTCGTACAGAAATTAACAATGATTACGGAAGTATGGAATGTTGTCTAAAAATATGGATTACACGACCACCAAAAACAAAAATTAAAAACTGAGCAGCCTCAACTTGGTGCAGTATAGGCCATCCAACACTCGCTGAAAAGACAGAAAAGTATCAAGTATTCTCTTAATAGAAGCCAATTTTCATGGAAAACTGATGTGTTTTGATGACTTGAAAATCAAAATTTAGCAGATTTGTGTGAGAAAAATCACAGACACAAAAAGGCTAGGTATTAGTTTTGAAACATTTTTTTTCCTCAGCGTCCACGCAGTGTTGTAGTGCAGTTTTTTTTTAAATTGATAGCGCCGCATAGGAAATTACTGATTTATTCCCCAAAGTACTGATTTTGAGCCTTGTGATTACTGCTTTTCTGTTCTGGAGGTTGGCAGCTCTGCAACATGACAGTGGCAGACAAGGTATCAAAGGGTCCCAAACCTGGTAAATATTCACATCTGAAAGTGTAACAATAACCAAAATATATTTTGTTTTGTACGTTAGTAGTTCCAGGTATGATATTTACATTTTATTATCTGTATAGAGATTTGTTCTGGGTTTGTTTTGTTTGTTAGTAGTTACATACCTTAATAACCTATTCAGGGTATGATATTTACATTTTATTATCTGTATAGAGATTTGTTCTGCGTTTGTTTTGTTTGTTAGTAGTCACATACCTTAATAACATATTCAGGGTATGATATTTACATTTTAATATCTGTATAGAGATTGTTTCTGTTTTTGTTATGTTTATTAGTAGTCTCATACCTTAATACTATATTCAGAGTTGGAGTTCAAATACAACTTCTGTTTTAAGATTTTACAAGTTGTTGAGTTGAGTGATATTTTCTATGTTTACTAAGATTTTCATTTTGATCAGAATTTTACACTAACACTTTTGTATGATATTTCATTTGAACTCTTAGTGAGGGTGTTTTGGTAAAGTTTAATTCATTAATAGGGACTCTTAGATTTGCACGACGAGAACGAGGACTGCGACGTGTGACATCCTTTTAAGGCAACGTGACATCCTTTTAAGGCACTGGCAGTGACGTCACATTGCCTTAAAAGGATATCACACGTCGCAGTCCACGTTCTCGTCGTGCAAATCTAAAAGTCCCTAATATTTGTGGTGAAGGCAATTATTCTTAGATTGGTGTCAGTGAAGTGTGTTTGTTGTCGTTGTTTTTATATCAGGCCCTCTACATTTTAGATTAGGAAATTTGATTTTATATCTCTTGTTTTTTAGATGGTTTGTATGATATTTGAAAGTTTCGATGGTTTAGATACCTCATTACATCCATGGAAACCACAGCAGTAAACTGCTATGGTTTTTGTTTACGTGTTAAATGAATGGCAACCGCGTGCAACGAAGGACTTGCGCTTATTAACAGATCTCTTTGTTATAAGATAGAGATGTGAAACGAATACACTTCATGTCATCATTATAAATATGCCATGGTTTTGCTGCATCATATCTGAGCTGAGCGAACCCTAAACCAGGATAATATACCGTGGTATATGTGATTGACATTTAATTGAAATTCCTCCTTCAGTACCTCAACCTCAGCGTTGTTTCTCGTCTTTTTTTCACCATAAACTTTCAAGCAGTCATGTTAAATTATGACAAACATTACATTTGGCCCGTTATTTTGCCTGTAAATCATCATACGCACCTTCACAATCTGCTGAAATTTTAATAATAGATACATGCTTTGTATATTTTTGTTAAAGTACTTTTCATTTTTAGGAGATTTCACCTTTCATTTAGGAAATTGAATACTCACTCGCTCAGATCTTTTTGTTGATGCCATTGCAACATAACTTGCATGAAAATTCAATTGCTCCTGAAAAAACATTACATTTTGTTCTTTTCCAAGAGGGGAATAATTGATTTGATATTTAAAGCTATTTATTTTTGGACCAATATTTGATTAGTGTTTTATCAACAGAAAATCAGATTTTCATTCAAACTATCTCATTAAAACACAGGTTCCAAGTAATCATTATTTAGAAGTACATACATGTACATGTACTGTAAGAAAATATATAAGCTTCACAGAGATGCAGATATCTCATAAATGTGCACCTCTTTAGTTTCATTAACATCAAATGTACCAAAGTTGAATTTTTCTAGATCAGTTTCTGCTTTTATTAACATTGAACTCTTGTATATTATACCACTTGTTTCTCCCTTGCTTAGTATTATGAGATTATGTTTCACCAAAACCTTTGTTACCGCGTTCTCTTAAATGTTCAGCTTTTGTTTTCATCTTTTAGAAATAACCATATTTATGTTCTCCCTCTCTCATTTTACCTGACATCAGGGGGGTGTTTCACAAAACTTGTCATCAGTGACAAATGATAGTTTTCGTTATAAGCTACTAAAATCATTGCTTCTGATTGGTTATCAGCACATTTGTCACTGATTTTTGTCATTTGCAGTTGAAAAAAGGCTTTGTGAAACACCACCAAGCCAAGGTTTAATTAAATTGTGTTTTGTTAATAGAAATGATGTCAGTAGAGATGTTAGCATTAACCATCGTTTCTCTCCATTCTCTCTCTCTCTCTCTCCCTCTCCCTACCTGACATTTAATTTAATCGTGTTCTATAAATAGAAGTGATGTCATTGGAAGCGTCCGGTACTTGGTCACAAACAGGGGGCACCAACACACAAACCACTAGTAATTAATTCCCGCTTTTCACCTCTTGTTTAATCTAATGCTTGAGTTTTTGTTGTGACTACATTTATTCTTTGCTGTTCATTGCCTGCAATATTAATCCATATGCTTTTTTTCTGTTTGCATGAAAGTTTTTAAGCTCTATATACATACATGTACATATGCAAGTGTAAGGTATTATGGCCTATCATTTGAAGGAACATGTTCCAAAATTGTCTTAGCTTCTGTTATTTGGCAGGGGATATATTTGATATAAGTATTATATGATTGCATATAAACCCCTACAAAAAATGGACACTCAAGTTTGATCATTACCTCTCTCTTGTCATGGCAAAATAATTGCTATATTTAGTATCATTAGAATGTTTGTTTATTCCTCTTTAAAATGATATCGTATTTGTTATGATATTGCAGCCATGAAATGAACATTACATTAGAATAAGGGGTAGGGTCAAAAGTGAAAAGTTGCAAAATGCACTGGTAAGCACTGGTAAAGTTGTGCAGTGCACTACACAGCAGCCTTGCACTCTTCAAAGAAAGAAGAATGCACAGCCAAACAAGAGCAGTGCATTTGCAACTTTTCACTTTGCCCCTTTATTTTGAGGTAATGCAAATTCTATGACTCAAAGGTCATAACAAAAGGGGTATCATTTTAAAGAAAAATAAACACACTTTCTAATGATACTAAATATAGTGATAATTATGCCTTAACGAAAGAGATAGAATCGATCGAACTTGAGTTTCCAAACTTGTTTTAAGGGGGGGTATTTTACTCTGCTTCATCTATGTCTGCTGCAATATTCAACAAATCTTTTGCTGGTAAATTTAGTTCTTCAGTCTCCTACATTCTTTAAAGATTCAATTATTTTTTGTGATGCAAAAATGGAACATACGATTACATTTTTGCATCCGTCATCCTTCTCTTTATCAATGTTTTAATTTTACTCTTATTTTTTAAAGTAAAATTAAATAGAGAAGTTACAATCAAATTAAGTAACTTCCAACATACAAGAAACTTACAAAATTAGAGCTGTAAAGTTGGTTGCATGAAAATATTGGAAACGAGGCATGAAATAATGCATTTATGTTGCTTACTCCTGCATGTGTTTGATGTGCATATAACCATATTTGCATAATGATTTGCATAATAATTAATTAGCATTGATTATCTAACTACATACAATTCTCACACAGTCATAACACCAAATTCTAAAAAGGCGAAATTGCAGTGTGGTTACATTCAACATCATTTGCTGGGCTACTAAAGACTTCCAAGTCTATGCAAGGCTAATTCTATAACAACAAAAAATAAAATTAAAAAAAATTGCTGCTGCTATAATTTTAGTCAAAATATCTGAATTTTTTCCCAACCCACATTCTGTTTCTGACCCTTACTCCCTTCCTCCTTCTAGTTGCCCCCTGAGGAAAGCAAAAACACAGATTTAAATGAAGAGTATTGTAAATACCTGTCAACAAAATTAGTTCAAGGAACATTGTGGAAGTGTTGTTTATGTTCTTAATTTCAGGAAGCATCGATATTTGTGTTTTGCTGTTTTTGCATATATTTTTATTGGAATTTCTCTGTGATATTGCATTCTTTTTAGGCTGCAGCTTGCAAGTGTGACCTGTGATTTGTGAAATTTTCCAGCAGTTTTTCATGGAAATATTTGTGTATATTTGTGTGACATTGTTTAAAAGTTTTGTATTCAAGTGTAAAATATGCATTGGTATTAGATACTGCAATAAAAAATTTGGTGTTTGAAGTCTTATTTCCTTTTTCCTTTTCTCCTATATTTTGAACAGCAATCTTTTTGTTGTAATTTATCATTTATAATACTCAATTGCTGTCAATTTTCTCTAATTATTCTTTTCCAGATACTATGTTGCATGCTTTTTCGTTATATACTACTACAATTACTACTTCTACTACTACTTCTACGTCTGTGCAAAAAATTATGTTTTTTGTAACGATCTTTTGTTTGTCCCTTCGTACTGTTCATCAGATATGGACTTGTCAGTGAATTACTTGTATACAATGTCAGAATTTTCTGGATCAACTTGATATATTTAGATACTCAACAATAATTGGAATACTTTTTTAGAATCTGTATCTTGGTTTGCTCGCAGATTAAAGCATGCTTTCCTCATTCTAGTCATGTCTGGGATTTCTTTACTATATATTGTATTGTGTAGTGCATATCATCATTATTTTTAATTTTTCTGTCATTTTCATTAACTCTGAAAGTAACATTCATGTACATCTAATACATGCATTAGGATTTGGGTGTATAAGTGTCATCTAATATTTAGACTTATTTAATAAAGGATATAGGATAATAATTTCAAAGGGAAACATAACAGGCGGTCATTATAGACAGGTTGTCTTTATAGACAGGTGGTCACTAAAGCAGGTTGTCATATCCTGGGGGCCAGTTTCTCCAAACAGTCATACACTGTAAGTCTACCTTCTTAGACATCCCTTTGAAACGTGTGTTATAGAATTAACACACTATGGGATGTCCAAGAACTTATGCCTCAGTCACACGTTTGTGTATTTGGCTTGCCGTTTTAACATTTATTCCTATTTCGTGATATCAAGAAATGATGTTCAGTTGTAAAGCGATGGTAATTCTTGATATCAAGAATTCAATCCTTGATATCAAGAAATAGGAATAATGTTAAACGGCTTGCCATGAATATGCAGCAATACGCAAGCCAAATATGCAAAGGTGTGCCTGAGGCATTGGTTTCGAGAAACTGGCCCCAGCATGCTTTGTTAATACAGTACCGAAGCTGTAACGTCATAAAAAATCTATTTTTAGAATTTCTCATTTTTTTTCTTCATTTTACGAAAGAGCATAAAAAATCGTGTCTAAATGTCGAAAACCAAATTAATATGTTGAGTAATGGCCGATGCTCTTTCGGAAAATGAAGAAAAAAATGAGAAATTCTAAAAATAGATTTTTGATGATGTCACACTTCACCACTCTATGAAATGGGTAAGCTCGTCATTCATTCGTTCATTCATTCCTTCGTTCTCTCTATCCAGTGTTGAGGAAGCATGGCAAGCTCATTACATTCCTTCGTTCATTCATCCTTGAGAGACCGACGAGGAGGAGATTAAAGCAGAGTGGTATCCTGAAGGAGAGGGTGTTCGGATGCGATCTAGGGGAACATCTTCTAAACACAGGCACTGATGGTAAGTTTATAGCTGCCTGTAAGCTTCTCAAGTTTATGTACATGTGTATCACTCTCCCCCTCCCATCACCCCCTTTTTTTTTCTCTCTCTAACTCTCTCTCTCTATCTCTATCATTCTTGTAAAAGGAGATTATTTATCTTCTAAACACAGGCACTGACGGTAAGTTAATAGCTGCCTCACAAGATTTAGAAGCTTTTGTTGTGTTTATGACAAGTTATGTGGGTGTGTGTGTGTTTGTCTATCTTTCAAAAAGTGAGAGTTTTTTAATGTGATATATGGGAGAACAACTTTGCCTGATTGTCACACAGGAACTAATTGAAAAATCTCTTCTCTGTTTATCTCTCTCTATCTAACCTTCCCCACCCGAATGTCTCCATCTTTCTCTTGTGTGTGTGTGTGTGTGTTTTGTCTTTCTTGGGGTGGAGGAAATACAGGTTCATGTATAATTTTTAGGGAAGATGGAGGGAAGAAGTAGTAGAAGAACACAAAGATATTACTAACTTACTAGACAGAGCTGCAAGGAAAATGAAACAATATTAGAATGTTGAAAAATGTGGTTTTTGTCAATGCTTGTCTAGCTAGCTAGAATGATTTGTTTCATTGTATGTCCTACACCTACTCTATGTGTACCTGCACATGTATGTTACTCTGAAATGATATATTATCCCTCATCCGTCTCCCCAATCACAGTTCCCTCTGTGGTCCAAGACTGCTGTCACTTCATCGAGCAGTATGGTATCGTTGACGGCATCTACCGGTTGTCGGGCGTGGCCTCCAACGTCCAGTACCTTAGGGACCAGTTTGACAGCGAGACCACACCCAACCTCGACGAGTATAAGAAGGATATCCACTGTATGTCGTCTGTTTGTAAGCTGTACTTCAGGGAGTTGCCCAATCCTCTGCTCACCTACCAGCTCTATAAGAAATTTGAGGTAATTAGGGGAAATCCCTATGAGGAGGGGGGGGGGGGGGGGAGATAGGCAGTTATATTTATGTTATTGATAAACACAAGAGAGAATACACACTGAATCATGTTTAAGTTTGAGCCTTAAGTATGTGTTATTATGTTTCATTTGTTTTGTATTTTGTAGGTTTATTTGTAATTTTTTCTGTTGTTCAATATGTAATTGTTTATCGTTGTATTTTGTTTGTTATAGTGCTTAGAGACTTCGGTGGTAAGCGCTTTATAAACACAGTTTTTTTTAATTTTTATTATGTGAAGTCCTACATTCTCACTTTATTTTCTATTTACAGGAGGCTGCTATGTCGGGTGAGGAGAATCGTTTGATGAAGATGCACGACACGGTCCAGCAGCTACCACCGCCACACTACCGCACCTTGCAGTTCCTCATCCGCCATCTCTCATACATGTCATCGTTCAAGAGTGAGACCAGTATGAACATCAAGAACCTTGCCATCGTGTGGGCACCAAACTTACTCAGGTAATGGTGGGGATGATAATGGTTGTGATGGTGATGGTGATGATAAGAATATGATTAGGTTTGGAGGTAACTCTTATGATGAAGATGATGATGATGTTGGTTCAGTAGTGAGAACAGTATGGACATCAAGAACCTTGCCATCGTATGGGTTTCAAACAATACTCTTGTAATGTATTTTTCCTCAACCCAAGCTCCCACCCCCTGCCTCAACCCCACCTCCCCCCAATCTGCCCCACCCCATCAGGCTTATCTGTACTAGATCTTGAAATTGATGTATAATAATTTGTTCTTTCTTTTTGTCAACCACAGGTCAAAGGACATTGAGACTGGTTCGTGTGCAGCTTTCATGGAAATCAAAGTCCAGGCGACCGTCGTAGAGTACCTTGTCAAGCATTGTGATCTTATCTTCAATGATAAGCTCTTCCCAGATGTCCCAGGTAAGAGCAACCTTCTGAGAATCTGAGAGTGTTTCACAAAGATCCCAAGTCCAACTTAACTCTCAGTTGGACTTGAATATTATTGAGAGCCATTTTTAGCCTTAAAATAAAATATATTCAGAGCGAAAATTCAAGTATTTTAGGCTTTTTATACCGGGGCTAGTATTTACTTGATGTTGTCGACATTTTTCACATCAGTTTTGTGTGTGTTTTGTTGTTTTCTGTTTCATTCTTACGATTTACTCTGATGAGTGCAAGAAGAAATGCTTAAGTATGTCTGTATTCTTTGCTATTCTCTGAAACTCCTTACCTCCTGTCCTAAAGAATTGCCATACTCTGATAGCTTTCAAAAGGATTCTGAAATCACATCTTTTCTGATTTGTTGTGATATTTTTCTCTGTTTGTAATTAGTGTAAATTTTGTATGTCAATTATGTCATTATTGTCAATTATCTCTCTGTGTTTGTTTGTATGTCTTGTTTATGCACTTTGTATCAAATGATAAGGCGCTTTATAAATGTAACATTAAGATTATTTGCCTGTTCCTACCAGGTGTCAGCCACGAGATGGCACGCCCCAAGTCCCTGGTGCTGTCCACCCCTACCAAGCTGCTCTCACTGGAAGAGGCCAGGGCAAGATCATCATCCCAGGGAAACGACAGCGCAGACAAGGATGACAAACCAAAGTTCATAGAGGTCGGAGGAGGGCCAGCTGCTCTACCCAAGCAGTATCATACTGTCATAGATCTCCCTCCAGAGAGGTAAGGGGAATTCCCTTCTCGTCTACCAATCAATTGATCATAATCCCTTTCATGACAATTTTGCCCATATTTTGTGGATAACCACAATAACTTTGCACTCAAAGCTCTAAAAATACATCAGATGGAAAAGTAAAAGGGAACAATTTTTGCTCAATCTATCTCCATTTTGCAGAACTATAGTTTTGCGCTGGATGCCAGTAATTTTTTTAACGTAAAACAATCCTTGAATTGGCAACTTATTTGACCAGGATTGCATTCTGCTATGGGTCTGAGCAGTTATCTAAATGATGTTTGTAATGGATCAAGGGGGCGTTATTTTGTTGCCTTTCTGGCTTGAACAGACAATATAAAGTGTATACATCTTTCCAAAGAGTATCCTTTGACTTCTCGACACAGGCGAGGTAAATTTGTACCTGGCAGGAATTAATTCCTTGACATGCTGGAGCGCTGTACTGGCAGCTAGGCTAAAGCTGGGGTAATAATAAATGCGCCTCGGAATAGAATTTCTAGATAGACGGCGCTATAGAAATGCCTATAATTGTTATTATTGCTATTCTCTTTCTCCTGCCTTAGTCGCAAGCGATTCTCTGCTTCAAAAGCCAAGAAGTCCCCCGGATGGAAGGCATTCTTCTCAAAATCGACCGGTAAGGAGGTCAAACGCAAGATGTCACATGACCCAGCTTCGTTACGGGTACCTCCCTCCAAGCACTTCGGTTCCAGGGCACACCGAACGAGCCTCCGATCCGTCAAAAGTGCGGAATCTCTCTCGTCCGCAGAGTCAGCATCAGAGCTGCAAGGCCAGGAGAAGTACGGCAATATTCTTGGTAAGCTTTTTTTTTATTAGCTAAAAAAGTATATGTTTTCACGACACAATATCTTTCTACACCATTAGTAATTCAGTTTTTGTTACTTAGGATTTTTTATGAAAAATGTACTTGAATACTACAGAAACATTTTGAACAACAATAATTAATTTAAACTTTTAGATTCGAGAATGTTACAGATAACAAAAAGGACAAGACAGGAAAAAAAAGTAGAAATGGAAATTTTATTATAGTATACCTTCTGTTTCTTTTTCCTTTAATGCCAAACTTGTGCAATTCCATTTTACAATCTATCTTTTACAATTGCACTGTCTTTGTTTTTCTGTGAATACAGATCCCCGATTTAAGGGTCACATGCGCCGCAGTTCAGTTGCCTGCATGGAGAACAACCTGAGGAGATCATCCTCGGACTCTTTCTTTGAGGTAGATGCGGACATCGTTGCCGCGGCAACCAGGGAGATGCTTGCAGAGAGGAGAGGCGAGAACCCCTACTCCGGTGACGAGATCTTTATCGAGGAGGAGAGTGGTGCGACGTGTCAGCTGGGACGCCGGCGCGGAAGCGGCACGAACAGCCCCTTGTGGATTGACCAGAGCTTGAGCAGCATGGAATCCGATCAGGCATCACTGAGGTCACCCTACGGACACCAACCTTCAATGCAGATCGGCAGGAAGATGAGTGCCGAGAACAACTGGCAAGTCGGAAATGATGATATCCACATGGCTTGCGATGTAAACGTGCATCATTATCATGAGGAGACTCCCCCGCCCTCTCCAACTGAAGCGTCCTCACCTGAGAGGTATCAGTGCACCATCGCAGAACCTGTTGCCGTTCCGCAGCGTCACCCGCTGAAGACATCCATCGCTATGCCGGTGGCAGCGGCGTTTACGCCAGAGTATCGCGACGTGGAGATGACAGAGAGTGGATGCTCTTCCACCTCACCAGATCACACTGGTTCTGTCCTGGATAAGATTTCAAGAGCGATGTCTATCAAGACGAAAGCCAAGTTAAAACGGGAGTCGAGTACAGAGGCGGATGATTACTCGAGTTTAGGCCGGAGTCCCGACACTGGGGTTGATGATGTAATGGATCGTCCGATCATGGTGACGGTACGTACACAGACCTCACCGCACGATACGTTGGATGATATGGACACGGGGGAAGAGGTACGAAAGTACGACGTCAACTTACAGACGAGTGGGAGTGATGGTGCTGTATTCATGCGTACCCCTGCGCAGCGCCGATCCATGAACCTTGACCTCTTCAGCGGGCTTGACGAAGCGCTGTTAGGTACGACGGCGCCCCGACCGAAATCTATCCATGTCTCGTCGCACCTCGGCAGAGGTTCCGAAAGCTACGATGATGATTTTGCAGCTTTCACGACCCGGTTGAGCCTCGACAATGTCCTTTCAGAGTATGACCACATCCTGGCTAAGTACAACAACCGACCACTGACTCCGGATTTTGATCGTAACGATGATATGTGTAAATACGATGGTATGTACCCTGGACAGCGTATATCGAGTCCGCGTCATGGGATCACGCCAGTCACTGCCCTTAACAGTAACTGTAATAACACCCGGCAGAGGCGGTTACAGCACAGGTACAGCATGGGTGATGAAATGAGAGCCGAACGCTTCAATAACCGTTACTCGACCGTCCTAACGGAAAACGGCGAGACGCGGAAACGGTTGTCAGCAGGTGCAGTCCTCGACCACCACACCCCCGGGCAGGAAAACGATGAGGAAGTCGTGGTCGTGAGATTACGACGCCCTAGACCACCTTCAGCACAGAAGAAACTCTACACCTCACCAGAAAGATTCTCCATCAATTCCCCGGAATTCCAAGCTTCATTCGCTGACCAGCAAAACGGCAACACCCCGCCCGAATCAGCCAGTGACCTTAGAACTTTAAAAATCGATGAGGGTCAACGGCCCATATCGTCTGTCGATGCCGTGTATCATGTGACCCTGCCGACGAGACCGAACAGTCAACAGAGAGGCATATCGAAAAGTTTCTCTTTAGATTTCCAGTCTTCCATTCCCGATGCTATGACGAGAATAGGGGAGGGTCTGGGGAGTGGAGAGATCGGTAACACCGTGAACGAAGCGGAAGCTGGAAGATCAGGGATGATGGTTCATGAAGATGATGTGAGATTAGATAACCAGGATGTAGATGGAATGCAGGAGATAGATGATGCAGACTGCTTTGCTTTTCAGACATCTTCTCAAGACGCATCCAGTGGATCGCCTCTCATAGATCGCTACCCGATCATAATCAGTGATGAATTAGAGCTTTGATGCTTTATGAATATGCTGAACATCTTCATGGCAATTCATGGTGCTTGATCTCAGTATATCTTAAGAAAACCGACATTAAAAATTAATTCAGTCCCACCTAAATACTGTATAAGCCAATCCCAAAATCAAAAACATGCAGACATGGTGGCAGAATGCGTGTGCAAACATGTACAAATCATGAAAAATTATGAAACTTGTGAAAATATCTGTGACCCTGTGAACAGCAAAATTATTTATAAACAAAATAATGGCTCACGCAGTAGGCTGTTCTTAAAAGAGAACCAAATAGTATTGTCTTCAAAAATACTTTGATTTCAGACTCTAAGATGCCAAACTTAGATCATATTGTTAAATCTTTGCCTGGATGATGTCTTGTAGTAGGGGATTTCCCCACCTTGTGCTGGCCCAAGCTGTGCCCTGTTTCACAAAACTTGTTCTCAGTAACAGGTGCCAGAATTTTGTTACAAATTCGCTCTCAGCCAATCAAATGCAATGATTTTAGTAGCTTATTAAAATCTTATCAAAAACTTGGTATTGATAACGAGTTTTGTGAAACCAGGCCCTTTATTCTCTCCCCATGTAAGTTAATGTTACATAATCAAGAAGAATATTGGTCTATTTAAACAGCATTACTAATTGTGCTTAATCAAGAATGTTACTCTTTTTTGTGGTGCAAAATGTTCATGTTTTCCTACTGTGTATGTATTATGAAGTCTGTATGTGTATGTTGTTGTTACATCTCAGTGTTAAATAGATGGATTTGGGGGTCGAAAATTAGCTATTCGCCCACGAATGTGTAAATAGAAATTGACTAAGTAATTATTGCCCTGCGTACGATACAGTGCCATGCTTCATTTTGTAATAATTGAACAAATAATTCAGGTTAAAAGTGCACTGTCTTTGCCTCTTGTATATGTTTTGCCTTTGTAGGTTGATGATAGTATTTAAAGCCAGAATACCTTGCCTTTTTTTGTATTGTATCTCTCGCTGAATTACATGTAATTTATGTAGAGGATTGAGGCAATAGATTGAAATGCACGAAAGAAAAATAGATCGAAGCTAGACGATACATGCTTGAACGAAGCATCTCTAATTTACTGTCACTTAAAGCCACAATGTCCTACTGGTAGCTACTTGCTCCCTTTATAAAGAAAACTTCCTGATCGGGGCCTGTTGGTCCCCCATGATCCTCTTTTTCGTATGTTAATTAAGAGCTGAGTTAATGAGATAGCCACCTGTCACAGTGACCTCGCTTGGTGGTCTAATCCCTTCTGGCTGAACTAGTACAGTCAGCCTTTAAGCCCTTTTCCAATATAAAAGATAATTTTAGTGGCCTCTGAATAAAGATGGCTGCTGTATTTTAAGGGGATCATTAATAACCTTAAAGTGTATCAATCGCCTGAATGAAATTACTTGCATACAGCTAGAATGCATGAAATCAACCTCAAGTAATTTACCTGGCTTTCTTTGGGCTAACGGATACAGAGTATGTAGAAAATAAAGAAATAACATCAAACTTATAGCACGGAAATGCGGTTCTGTGCGGGCCCTATTTAAAGCGAGGGCGTGCAGGTGTGTGGAGTTTTCTACTCTCAAGTCACTTTTATTGAAATTGTATTTTAAGTTGCAAAATCCCTCAAACAGAAGTTGTATTTGTAGCTCATATTTCTGAACATTGCAACATATAACTACTATCAACAAAAACAAAATGTTTTTTAGAGATTGGTACACGTTGAGGTTAACCGAGTTGCCAATTTGCATACCTGAGATCACACATAACGGTTATACTGATTAGTTGCGTGTCGTTAGAATAAAAACCTTTCCTTGCCCCATTTTTAACAAGAAATAGATACACAGAATGCAATATTTCACTTGCCCATTGATGTTATGTACTTGCACTGGTTATTGAGTAGGACAGTGCTGTATAAAATAGAATAAATCTATACAAATTGATTTGAAAGTGATATTGAAGTATTTTATCCCTATGGGTCACGGCATACTGAAGAAACAAATGAGTTTTATAAAACGAACAGGAATTATCAAAAACTTAAATGGTTAGGGCCTAATTTTACTGTAGCTTGGGGTATTCTAAGGGCTTTTTTTAAGACAAGATTCCCCATATGAATCCTGTTTAATAGTACATGTAAGTGAAAAACAAAACTCCTTTTCATTGGTGCGAATGGTGCATCTCTTTTTCGTGTCTTCATCATTATAAAAGCTATAGTTCATTATAAAAGCTATAGCTGTACTCCTTCTTTCCCATATAAATTGATCTTGCCCCCTTCCAGAGTGTTTAACTCTCATGCATATTCATGAGCCATGCAAATTATTACGTTAAGGTTTACTCTGTGTAGGCCAGCAATATACCTTGCCAGAGAAAATTTAATTTGTTCCATCTTTCACATGCAATGTATCCCACCTATTAGATATTAATATTCATATATTCATGTCATCAATATTCATGTCATTTATATTTTTTAATTCTCCTATTTATTCATAACTTAGTGGGTGGTTATTTATATTTGACAATGCCTGTATGCTACTATGATACTACAAGGATATTTGAATGAGATGTTTTTTTTATAAGAATTGCACTGGTATTTATTCATGTAATGGTTATAATTACTCTTATTGAAATATAGATGAAGCACTTTATGTCATATTTATGTCAAAAATGTTATTTTAATAACAATTACATTCTTACATTGCAAGGTTTCCCAGTGGCAGATAGTTGACTTGTCATATGACCCATTGCTGTCAAATCTACATTTTGACTCCTCTTGTATTTTTTGTAAAGCTTTGCCCAACAACGTTTCAAAGATTATTGAAATCCTATAGACAGCCACTTACGTGCAATACTGCTTTGCAGCACTACATGAAGAAAATTGTGATAAAGACGTTACATATTTAATGTATTAAGGATATATTTCATATGAATATGCCTATATTAGTCCAGTTAATGTATTTGTAACTCAGTTTTCTGTGGTTTAGATGGCACTTTTTTTTCTTTTTCTTTTTTTCTCCATTTTTTGAAAATTACATTGTGCATTAGAATAGGCCCAATAAATTTTGGTGATAGTATTTAAGTTTCAGAAAAAAATCATTCTCAATGTTAAAGATATAAAATTAAGCTTAACTTGGGGATTACCATCCAAATATAACTACCAAGTTGTTTAACCATTTCTGATATAGTTTTCATGGAATTTCTTTGAAATTACTCCTCTAATAATCAAATAATTTGAAATAGTTAATTTGAATTATACAGAAATATTTGTTGAAAATTCGAATTAATTTTTCCTGTAGGCCTGCTAAATAGTGTTGTTGATTTTGATTTGGCATTTAGCTCGGGCTGAAAACCAAAATATAAATTTACATTTTCTCGTACCGGTATACTTTTACTCTATTTATCTCTCACTCAGAACCCGTTTCTCATCTCATATTCTCGACACCAAGATGCGCCTTATTATTTGTTTCATGTAGTGGATGAACGTCAATTCTTTCATTGTTTTAGTCACTTTGTCTCTGTTTGTAATGACGGTGGCAATGGAGTGCCGGTATTAATTTCGACATTAAGGAACGGAGGGCAAATTCAAACCTTGAAATCCCTTTGCCAGGTTCTTGGGGTGTTTTTTCTCCCTCTCTTTTCTCTATTCATAGCTTCAAGTTTTAATGTGGGTTTGAATAGAGTGGGCTATAACCTTTCTTGCACTGAAGCGACTGAAATATTGCCTGCATATTGCTTAGAAATTGCAATAGTCCTAAAGAATGTGAAGCTTACATGTAGATGTAGAAACAGTCTTCTTTTAAAGTGTACCAATCACCTTAAAAAAATATTTGTTGTACAGGGAGAATGTATCAGTTCTTTCTCAAGACTCGAGAAACCTCTTCCTAACATGTTGTAGGTGGTAAAGAAACTGTGTGAACAATGAAACATTGTGTTTGTAGTTATGAAGACAAAATTCCACTTACTGAAGGGAACCCACCATCTCTTTATATTGAGCATGATTAATATCCTAATGGTTTAAGCCATACTGTACTAGAAACACTACCGCAAAATCCCCTCTCAGGTCAGCTGTTGCAGTGTGGTCCCGTAATTCGCTGCTTCCCTAGCTGCGCTGTTTGCTCACGCATAGAGTCCTCTGTCTGTGAAGCAGCGGAAATTAGGCATTGTGTTACGCACTGTTGGCAAGCCGACCATGCGATGGCGCTGTGCAATATACAGTACCAGAGCCATCTATCTATACACGGAGTTTGGCCAACTTGTTTTCACTGGGTCACAACATGGTGTCCAACTCGAACCGGGTTGGCCAAACTCTATGTGTAGATGGCTCTGAACAGTACACTAGGGTAGAAAGTTCATCAGTTCGGTATCGCTTTAACAACAAAATAGTAATTACTATATGTCACGTTACAACTGTTATTCAAGGTCAGGTTATCATGAATGTGCTATTATATTATCATGTGACTGAAATTTTGATATACAGATGAGAAATTTATAAACTCTTGCTCTATTGACTGGGAAAAAATTGCTAGTGAAAAACAGCATTTATGTTGAAAGTATTTAAGATAAATGTTAGTACCGGTAAGCTAAATTAAAGTGTAATAACCTGAATGTATTCATAGAAATTAAATGTAATTTAAGTGTCGAAAAAATGTAAAATTGCAAGCATTTGAATAGTAAGTTGTGGGAAACTTTCATAGATAGGGGTGATTGAGTGGCTATTTTCTGTTCCATAAGCTACAAATGTGCTTTGTTTAAAAGGAAGGTAGATATATTGTAGAAATTAATGCCACACATCAAATTATAGCGCTGGACACATTCCAAATTACTAAATGCATTGATAAAAGTTGAATTAGAATCTTAATGCAAGGTGCTGCATTAAAAAATATGCCATATTCTAGGTTGTATTAGTGCCATTTTTTTTTTGGTCTACCTGTAAATTTTATACCATTTTCAAATATTTGAAATAATCAAATTAGGCATACTTTATTATGATACAACTCACTGTTTTCATGATTATGCAATATTTTGATGCTAATATCAGATTTGCTTTGGTGAAATTATGAAACTGATATCTGTGTATTGACATAAGTAGCAAAGAGTATTTTGTTGAAGAACTGAATGCGTCGTGTAAAATATGAGTAAAATGTTCATGTCATGTTAATGTGGCTGATTGGTGTTATGACATGTATGTAGATGCAAATATATGGACAGTGTAAATGATATGCAAATTTATGCAAAAATTATCCATGTTTACCTAATGAGGGAATAAATGATTTGAATTGTATATGTGGCAGAGCGTGAGAATAACTGTGATGTCTGTATAATACACAACTGCTAAATGAAGAAAAATATCTGATATGTGTCATCTCTGTTTTTGTTACTGTCTGTGATTGTCTGATTAATGTATACACACGCACAACACACACAGGCACACAGCCCACATACATACATAGTACAAGAGTATTAGGTGAAGATATACAGTCAAACCTGCTTTAGTGACCACCTGTCTACAAAGACCACATTTATTGTTTCCCTTGAAAATGGTTTCTCATTGAAACATGTACTGAAGGATCCTGTACATAAGGACCACCTGCCTATAAAGACCACTTTTCTTGTCTCCCTTGGGTGGTCTTTATAGACGGGTTTCACTGTATATTATATGATAAGTAACAGCCATGCTTCCTCTACTCTCTCTTTCACACAAACGAACACACACATACACACAAATGTCTCTCTCCGCCCGTCTCTCACACTGACACACTATATACTATACACAAATTTCTAACCCACTATAGTCTCCCACTCACATCCCAACCACACACAAATACACCTACCTGCACCTACACACACCTACACACACAAACAACCAAACATTACAAATCCCTTTGTTACACTCCAGCCATTGCTCTTTCTAAATACTTTCCTCTTCATATTGCAGTTTTCATTTTGTTTCTTTAAAATATCGAGGGGTCAGTGACACAAAGACGCAACTCCATATTTTGCCAAAATTAGTATTTGATATCAAAATGTTCAGAAAAATGTGGGCTTTCCAGGAAACACAAAGACTTAACTCCACCCAACACCCCATTGAAGTCAATGGCTAGTGAAACATAGTCTCGACTCTCTAAGGCCCAAGTACTCAGTGACACATAAACCACTTTTGTATGATACACCTATGAGAAGAAGGCTCATCAAATTCACTGGCAAGATTCTTGCCCTGAATAATCATATCAGAATAGGGCACTTTATATAAACTTCCACAATTTATATAACAATTTATTGGATGTGCACCTTGCAATCAACTTACATACACCAAGATAATTCACAACAGAAAAGTGGGAAACAATTGAAATTAAATTCAAAATGAGTTTAATACCTGAAGTAGGAAATACATTTCCTCACTGTTAATAAATTGAATGCTGCAGCAGCGCAACATTTTATCGTGGATATGTCTATACATGGGGGTATCAATACACATGTATCATCCCTCAAAGAGTCTTTTAAATTGTCTTGTTTGGAGCCAGATGGTCATTAGCTCTATGTAAAATGAAAAGAGTTAACGGCTTTCTTGCACAAAACAGACGATACACCCATATCTATACAAATTGACTGGAACAATGGCTGGTACATGATTGTATTTCAGGCCCATGTTTCATACAGCTACGCTTGCGACTCTGACTTGTTGATATTGCCAAAGACCACATGCTCCCTATGTCGCTTCACCCGGTCAGTTTGACTTGCTGATATCGCCAAAGACCACATGCTCCCTATGTCACCTCACCAAGCCACTTTGACTTGTTGATATCGCCAAAGACCACGTGCCCTGTATGTGGCTCTACAGAGCTGCTATGCCTTTAGCGTTGGTGAGCAGATCCAGTCTTCACCGCTTGTCTGCTTCTCACTTCCACCTGCTCTTGGACGTCTGTTACATTCTTCCAAATGATCTCACCATTCTGAGTCAAGAATCCTAAGTATACAAGCATACAAGCATAAAACTTAACATTCTTATAATTTTAAATCTTTCTTAAAGGTAAAGACCGGTAATGGTAAAATTGCGGTTTAAGGGTTTTGGGTGCAACATGTACATTCAATATTGTTTAGATATTGCCTTCAGAGGTTTAGATGGCAAATACTTCAACCTGAATTTGCAAAAAAGCAGAAATATTATATGCCCACATGTTCAATGTTGAAGTGCATCCGCGATATCTATCTAGGCCTGTTTGATATGATAATTTACCAAATATATCAATTAGTAGGCGGTTTCCCGGCAAAATTTGTATCATCACGTATTAGTCAAAACATATTCTATTATTTTTTTACACGATTGGTTATAAGAGCTTCCATTTCATTTTTTGAGAGGGGGGCGTTTCCAAAACTGGTCTATACCTTTATAGTAAGCACTGGTCTGATTTTGGCATATTGGACAACTTGTGCTGACATAAAACATCAAGTGCCTGCTTACAACGAAAAAATACAACATATCCTTTATATTTCATCCACTGTTCTGCAACAATGGATTTACAATTTTTCCATGATTAGGAATAAAAGAGCAAATGAGAAATTTGTTGATAAGAAGTACCTTTCACAACTATGTTTCAAATTTGTTCAAGCTGGGTCCTCTTTCATAAACATTATTATCAATAACATGCTATAATGACTGTCAAAAGCTACTAAAATCATTGCATTTGATTGGCCAAGAGTAAGTTTATCACTGAATTTTAGCTCTAGGTAATTGTATTCGGTCAATCTCAATGTGATGGTTATTTTACCTGACTGCTAAGAAAGCATAAATGCTTGTAAGTAAGAAACAGGGCCCTACTTCTCTGCTTTTTTTGTATCGCCCGTTTTAAGGCGACTTTTTGTAAGGGTTGGATTACCCCCTTTAAACTTGGGATTTAACTGCTCACTCACCTCAAGGTCAAAGGTAAAAAGTCCTCAACTTCCAGGACTATTGAAGAACTCTGAATGTCCTATACCAAAGCTTATGGCCTCTGGTACCCTGTGAAATAGTTCAAAATGTTTGATTAAGCTTGATGATGTACACTTTGTACAGAGGGGTGGGGAGCACACAACCCACAAAATGACTCTTGTCTATGTTCTTCTGTAGACCCATTACATGAGTGAAAAACACTTTTGTCATTTTACATTTCGAAAAATGCTTCTTCTCCTGTATGAGTCTTGTGCTATAGGTTATAAACTCACTTTGTTGAAATGGACAATTAACCATGTACCTGATGTTCTTTAGACCTATTGAATGAGTGAAAATGAGTGAAAAACAACTTGAAAATCTTCCAACTTACTAGTATAGGAGCCAAGGCTATAAACTCTCTTCGTAGAAGATGGCTATTTGGCAATGTAAGTGTACTTCTTTATACCACTGAAAGAGTAAAAAGGAATTAAGATTTCAAAATTTCTAACTTAATACGTGCCATAAGGTTATAACTTACTTTGTAGAAGATGGACAATTAGCTTTGGAGGTGCTCTTCTTTTGATCTGCAACATCTACGTCTCTGCTTTCTTCAAGGCCTCCGGTCGTATCTACCGTTCTAAAACTTTGCCTATGGAAGACAAATTGACGAGATTAGATAACACACGTGAGAATAAAAGGCAAGATCTATTAAAGCCCCACTGTACTACTTGTAGCTACTTGCTCCCTCTATATAGAAAACAATGGCTAAGCGGTGACCATTGGTCCCCCATGATCCTCTTTTTCTTATGTTAATTGAGAGCTGAGTTGATGAGATAGCCACCTGTCAGTGACATTCCTAGCCAAACTAGTACAGATGGCCTTTAAAGATCTGACAATCGCTAAATTCATCACACTGTAAAAAATTCTGTTCATTTCTTTTAATCAAAAAAAATCTCAGGGCACATAGAAAATCTAATGGTCCACATGCATATTTCAGTAAACCTTATTTGTTTTCTTTCAATCTAGTCCAGTAAGTTTTGACCGGTATAGATTTTTTTAAATTATATAATATCATCACCTATGAAACACAGAGAAAAGCAGCTACCGTTTACATGTAATAATCAATTTTTCGAATCGTTTTATATACATGAACTTTCCTCAAAATATAAATAGAAACCAAAGACATTGTTTCTGTTGTCAACAAACTTAGTAATGGTGTTACCTTCTGTCAAAAAGAAAGTTTGCAGGGTAGCCATGGCAACTGGTCATGTGATCTAGCCTGCTCTGTGCATCCATGAAGTGACTGTTGCAGTTTTCTTCAAGGCAGCAATACTATATGAAGTGGAAATAGTGAAAATAAAATTTACTCAATAAACTATCAATAAAATTAATGCAAAATAATGTAAAGTCCATCTGGATTACTACGCTCATAAATGTACTTCTCCACCCTGTCTTATAAAGAGCTGATATCAATCGCAACTCATTTGCGATTGATATCATTCACAACTATGTATATAAAAGATTGAGGACTGCAAACTTGCTATTGATTAGAGGACTTACGATTGACTTGGATCGGTCAATTGCAACTCTTTATAAGACAGGGCCCAGGAGTGGTTTTTTGTAACATTGTTGGGGCACCACCGAGGATTTGATATGCATTTGAATAGGAAGTAAGAACCATACAAATAAGATATATAAATTAAATGAAATATAAAATTTCTGTTAAATAAGTATAATAATCAGTATGAATAGCATGGGTAACTCTGACACTTTTGTTGAGTAATTTGTTACACTGTCTTGCTAGTGTTTTTTTTACTCTGTTTGTACATGACAGTATGTTTTAGTATGTTTTTTGTTCTGTTCTTTTGTTCTTTTTTTCTTTTTTCCTGTATGTGTGTGTTGATAGGGGTAGGCTTTCATATATTATAAGGAATCCCTCCTTTCTGCCTATCCCAAATGCTCTTAAAAAGTGCCATTTTTATTTGTTATCATTATTTGTTTTGTTATCATTCCATTCTGTATTTGTATTTTTTAAAGCCCCACTGTTCTACTTCTAGCTACTTGCTCCCTCTATATAGAAAGCAATGCCTAATCGGTAACCATTGGTCCCCCATGATCCTCTTTTTCTTATGTTAATTGAGAGCTAAGTTGATGAGATACATGTAGCCACCTGTCAGTGACCACCTTGGGTGGTCTAATCCTTCCTAGCCAAACTACATGTAGTACAGACGGGCTTTACATGTTTTTAAGAAGAGTGTTGAATAAACTTTGAATTGAATAGAACAATCATCATACCATAGGTTGCTGTTGTGAGAGCAGTGAGAAGAAGCTATCATGATTCTCTGTGAGGTGGATCTCTAGAAGATGATTGGTTGAATAGAAGCGCTGACAGTAACGACACACAAAGCGATGGCACATCGTGTAGTGAGCTTCAAAATTAGTCATGCTCGCAAACGATTGGTTGCAGCCGGGCACGTGACATTCACAGCCACTGCTGCTGGAAAAGGAATGATTATGATACCCAGAATGTTGTTAAAGGGATTGGGTAACTTTGTCTCAGATCCTTAAAAAAAATCCTTGATTTAGCTCATGCTGCAATTATAAATATAAACCTTTAGGTCAGTCAGGAATCCCATGATGTTTATAAGCCGATTGACTGTCTGATTATCAAGATATTTATGGTTGAAAATCGAAATCAAATTTTGCGTTTTGCTAACGGTTTTCATAACACTACAGTATATAGGGGAAAATGAGTAACGGTATGATAAAAACCGGTCACTCAAAGATTTTTACTTTTTTGAGGCACTTCATGATAATTTCGAAGGGCAATTTTTTTAGGGCTTCGATATTACACCATATCACAGAAACTTTTAAGTTTTTAACACGTAAGGCCGTGCATCTCAGATTTAACATTGTTATACGATCCCTTTAATGAGCCCTTGACTCAAAGTACATAGGACTTCAAGCTTCATGGGCATCAGATCATACTACTCCTTCCAAGTTGTTCAATTATTTTATATGCTCAAATTTTTTTTTGTGGACCACCCTCCTACATACATGTAAAGAAATTACAATGCAGAGTTTCGAGACAAAAATACAAAATAATAAAAATGACAAACAGGGAGTATTTGAATTTCATGATGTATTGGTTGTTTCAATAAAAATGATTTTGGTTGATGAAACATGCTGAGCAAGAAAAATAATCAATGTTAAGTGAATAGCAAAAGTTGAAACAAACAACCTGGCCCTTTAGAAAGATACTTGATTGAAACAATTATTAAATAAAATCAGGCTTTGGGCTATGCATCATACAAACAATGGCTAAAATATTTTGAAGTTCACTTTCAAAGTCAAGCTTGCACATTTTAGGGGGTTGTTTTTATTTTTCTTCTTTTCTTTCTTTCTCCTTTCATCACTCACTCACCAAACAGCTTCTTGTTCATCATCCTGACAGGTGATTCCTTTTATTGCACTGTTAGATTCATATTGCACATCATGTGAATTGGCAGCTGGCTCAGAGATGTGACCCCTACCAGTCCAGATGAACTGCTTGGCCTGATGAAAACCAATCCTCTGATCCGGAGATCTCTCTCGTTTCTGCATCTGGAGTCGATACCACTACACCATGCAGCTAGAAGAATGACTACTCACCCCTGTAAATATTGTTTTAAATAATAAAATGAAATTTAAAAAAAAATCAAGAATCACTAGATCTAAATAAGGTGTTGTGGCTAGATAAAGCCAGGTATACACGTCTAGCCTACAATGTATGAGGTCTAAACTAATAGTACGGTATGTACCTCATACCCGATCTAGCGCTAAATTATAAAGAGATTTTTGTTTTCTTCTCCAAGCTAATGTTAGACCATTGCATTGCCATTCTCTCTCGATCTTGTATCCTTCCTCCGCTCAGGTCGGAGATCGTCTTGATAGTGTTTGCGTTCTGGTGTTTTATACAGAGGAGTTTTAAAGTTCAGACAATGTTTTTTACACACTAAGTAAGACCTAATGCTGTTATGTGTGGCTAAAAAATAAAAACAGACATGTCTACATTCCAGCTTTAATTTAAGCTTTGAGCCGGGCACAACTGTAAGGGCTACGATAATTCCAGGGAGCTCCGCCCGAGAGCTTCGGCGGCGGAGCTCCCCGGATTAGTGCTAAGGCCGACATGTCCTTCTCTAGTCTAGGGCTCGGCTTGCGGGAAAATTACCATTAACAGTTTACCTAGAATCCTGATATATATGTCACACATTCCCACATTTCAATTCAAACTAATTAATTCAAATTGTTACTGATAACTGAAAATAGTAATATTGCAAAACTCACAAGAAATAGTCAACCTTCGCTGCGGATTATCGATGATTATCGCACGCCCTCTCGTGTTCATCGCATGCGTTTTTTTTTTTTTTTTTCTTTTCCTTTTTTTCCATTTTATTTATTTACCTTTTTTAAATCTTTTTTTGTTCCCTTCTTTTTTTTTAGTGGGGAGGGTGTCATGTTTGGTACGTAGTTAATGTTTTAGCAAGCAGGTTTTTTTGTTTTCGTGAAATGATGACTGTCCGCTCCACGATGATAAATGAACTATCAGATTGTAAAATGTCCCCTCCCTCCTCCCCCCCCCCCCCCCTCCTCCACAAGTATTTCTACCTGTGATACACTATAAATCCTTATTCCCCCTTCCCAGTCATGGGTATAGCCCTAAGGGTTGGCACCTGTAGATATTAATTCTGCACTCTTCAGTGTCAGATTGACAAAATCGTCAAACTTTTTCCTGCTTGAAAAAAAAATATTTAGACAGTGCCCCCTATAATTATATTGCTAGTTTTCTACATTTTGATATCACGGGTGCTTTACCTTGAAAAGGGGCATTTTGAATAGCGCTGAAACTGGGCACGGTTCTATGCTAGCCCTGCAAAATGAAACTGTCAATGTTTATAAAGGAAGAATATTGGGACCCTCCCAGCTAAACTGCACTATTATAGGCCCTAGTCGTAGCTCACCTGCACAATTAAAATCCCCTCTAATTCTAAAAAGGTATCGGGCCCAATTTGATTTTCAAGAAATCGGCACATTTTATAAGTGGCATGGGAAGTATAGGAAATGGGGCACATATCAGAACGGAAAATCCTTATTTACCACAAGGGAAAAGGGGCTGCCCAGACATGACAAGGCAAACTTATTAATAGAAAGAAAAAGGGCCAATTTTCTTGAAGGGAAAAGGGTCCCTTGTGTACGGGCCCTTAATTACAAGAAATTTATTTAAAAAATAGCCACTTTCGGCAGAAATAGGATACTTTAGGGGTACTCAGTTGAGAAAATTAGGCATGCCTACTGTGCCCCCTGCCCTCGGGATCGTTGCTCCTAGTCAAAAAGTTTTTTAATGATGATGATTTTCATCTTACAAAAAAGATTACTGTAACCAACAAAGATTTGTCAGACATAAGAATCATTGCAATTATTTTTTTTAAGAATTACTAGTTCTTCTATAGGGTCCTACGTGATCAAACCGAAGTCAGCCGACTTTCAAGCATGTGAAGCCCAGCATAATATTATCATTATTATAATATTATTTCTAACAAGACGAAAGACAATGATGTCTCAATGAGCTTTACAAACATTTAAAAAAAATGTAATGATTTATCTGCTGTGAAAGAATCACAAGTAGTAAGGAAAAGGGTAAGTTTATGGCATAATGAAATAACAAGATAAATTAAATAAGTTTATTGATTTCCTTTGCAACTAAGGTTTAACTAAGGATTTATTTTTAAAAAAATAGACTACATAATTATCTTGCTCTCATGAGCGTCAATTATAGGAAGGACAGGAGAACACACCCTTCCCCCCCCCCCCAGGGGCGGATCCAGCCGGCGGCAAGGGGGGGGGGGCCAAATAGGGGGCCCAATTCGTGAGAAAATGTTTAGTATTGCACTGTATAAGACCAAACATAATTTAATCAGATGTTATGGTAATGATTGCTAACAAACATAAATATTTTTGAACTCGAATCGTAAAGTCCGCAACTTCCGAGTTATTTCTATTCGAATGTTGTGAGCTTGCTACGAATTGGTGGTCATCAGCTTTGTGAAAATTTGTGACATTAATCTGTGAAACAATTTCTTAGTGTACAGCGGGGTGTACAGAGCATCATTATTTCTTGTGTCGATTTGTCTCTCTCGCTCTCTCTCTCTCTCTCTCTCTCTCTCTCTCTCCCTGTCTCTATCTCTATTTTTTATTCATTTTTCTTTGCATCCGTCACCCCTCTCTCTCTCAATCCCCCACTATTCCGTTGATTTCTGTCCCGTTACTTCTGCCCCCCCCCCCATCCCTCATTCTCCCTCACTCTCGATCTCTTTCTCTTTATTCGTAGTCTCTCTGCATACATCCCTATTATAATATATCATCCATTCATTCTTTCATCCATCTCTCTCTCTCATTCTCCACTATTCCGTTTATTTCTGTCCAAATGTCGCTCCCTCTCCCCCTTTCTTCTCTCTCTGTATACAGTAATTGATGGGTTCTTCCTCTCTTCCCGTTTCCATGCATTTCCCCTAGTATCTCTCACTATTTTGTTCTCTCTTTGTCTTACTCTCAATCTTTCCATTCTCTCTTCTTCACCCTTATTGTCTTCTCTGTATATATGTCTCTTTCTCTCTCCGTCCCATTCATCCATATTTCACTTTATTTTTGTCCCTGTATATCTCCCTTATTTTCTGCTCCTGTCACTGAATTCCATAACTCCCCTTCCTCTCTACAACCATTAATGTTTGTTGTCACGTTTTGTCACCCTATTGCCGTTTCCCCTGCTCGTTCTCTCTCAACTCACCCCTCCCCCTCCATCATCTACCCCCCGTCATTGCTGCATGCAGGTATCTCTCTCTCTCTCTCTCTATTTTGCCCCACCCTCTCTTCCTTCGTCATTCTTCTTCATATCTCTATTCATCAATATTGATGTCTGTCTCTCTCTCTCTCTAACCTTTTCTCTATCTTCTCATTCAGTCTCCCTCTAAAGTCATCCAGCTATCACCGTTTCACATGCTCTAGCCTGGGCGCTATTTTCTCTTTAATTCCCCTTTTATTGATCTTCTTTCTCACTCTTTAAACTCTTGTTTATTTTTCTTAGCATCTCCCTTTTCTGCCCCTCTACATTTTTTCTTTCTTCCTCCTTTTGAAGTTTAAATGTGCGTGTCCATTTCTCTCATCTGTACTCTCCCTCTCTCTCTCACTCTCTCTCTCTCTCATTAGGCCTCCTCCTCCCTCTCCCTCACTCTGTTGTAGCACTCTCTCTCTCTCTCTCCCTCACCCCTCTCTCTCTTTCTCTCTCTCGTCTTCCCATGTCTCTCCTAGATTTTACATCAGACAGAGAGATTCAGAGATTCAGAAGGTATATTTAAATCTCCCTTTTTTAATTCCATTTAGAATCATGACTGCTAATGACAAACACATCAATAGGCCATTTCTGTCATGTAACCAAATTTATACATATGTCTCTGGAAGCGCCCGTTATGAATAAATGTATCTCAATAGTCAGACTTCAAATTGCATACATAAGTTGCTAGGTAGGACAAACATTTGGCTTGCCCTACCTAACAACATGCAATATGCCATTGCCATTCTGACTATTAAAATACAATTAGTTGTAAAAGGTGAATGAAATAATTGTAACCAGACACTTAAGTATAAATTTGGTTACATTACAAAAATGGCCTATGATGAATGAAGTATAATATATTGGTGCAGTAGATGTATATTGCCTACCCACATCTATCAAAAACAGTTAGGTACATGTATTAGAGTTACTGTCCACCATTTTGACATTTTCATGAAAGTACTTAAAGGCTTAATCATCAATTTGTTTGAGAATGTAGGAAAACATGTGCTAGAATTTATAAGAAATTGTAAGTAACAATTTATATCTAATTAAATGAAAGAGAAAATAATCATATCATTACATCTTCATTAAGTAATCATATTTGTACACATTACCAATACATACCGGTACATATATATATGTATACATGTATATGAACCAACAAATTCAGAATTTCCTGAGTGATGTTATATTTCACTGAGGCCATAGACCGAGGTAGAAATATAACGGAACTAGGGGAATTCTGAATACATTTTATACTGAACCGTAAAATGCATGCAATATTTGTCATATAAAATTTTGGGATTTGCAAACCTTTGGAGTCAGGCCCTCTTGATTACTTTCAGGTTGCCTTTGCATCAGATGCGTGCAAGCAATTAAGAAGTATATCGCTACCAGGCGAACAATGGGTATATGTAGAGAGATGTGCACAGTCTAATTCACTTTTGCACATGTTACATGCAAAATAAGGTTGTTATATTGCACAGTCGTGCAAATATGACAGAATGTTGAGTGTCAGGTGACACCATTTCAACTATAGGATACAAATACACTCGTCTTTGACCATAAATTTTGTCATGTTCTCATCATCAAGTTTAGAGCACCTCAGCTACAACATATTAAAATATGGGAGAAATTCAAATAAAGATAAACGAGATATGGTCGACAGTGCATTATTGTCGTCGATTACAAAATTAATTAAAATTCAAATCCTTAACTTTAACGTGCAATGTAATTACGTCATAAAATCTGATTAACCAAAAAGATGTATCAAATCATATGTACAACTCGTACCAAACAAAATTAAGGGTATCCATGCATTTAAAGAATTTATGGCAAATTAAACATAGGCATTTTTAACCATATTTTGCAAATGTGCGCGCGTGCATGTTTTTATCTTTGACGCGCAGGTATCTCATCATTATGAGTAAAAAAAATAGTTGAGGAAAGTATCAGGAATCCGAAACATGCAAAAATCTGAATTTATCCAATCCGCTATATGCCCACAAATATGAAATTTTTGAAATGCTTAAAAATTATCTGAAACGTATAGAAAATTACTTGGTTTGGAGTTTCAACCATTTTTTTTGGGGGGGGGACGCATGCGTAGGCTCGTTTTTGAAGGGGCAGGCGCATGCACGTTGACTAAAATTCTGACCCATAACCTGACCATGGTTGATGCCAAATTTAAATTTTAACTGATATTTCATGGCTGAGATACGACCATTAATGACATTTCACATGACGTCACGATGCCCCGGCGTCGATAAAAAGTCACGCAGTTCTAAGTTGGACTAGGATCTATCTTCAGGCCAAGTTACATGACAATGGCCTAATCTATTCTTGAGATATCTTGTGAACAAATTCATGAAGAATAATAGATAATAATAATAAATAAAAAGTATTACTAAAAATCTTGACGAATCAAGAAGCGATACGTACCGGATGTAAGTATCACCTAATAAATACTAATAAATGAAAATCTTGACAAAATCAAGAGAGGTGATACGTACCGGATGTACAAATTA